GAGGTGCGATCGGAAGGTTTCCAGACTGCGCGTATAAAAACCCGTGCACTTATCTCAGGTATTAAATTCATCCATCACCCTTGAAGTAGTTCCCCTGGGAGTGAACACAACGATCCCATCGCCGCTGCCAAGCCTGGAAGCATCCCTGGAAATCTTTCTTTGTCAGCCTGTCAAGCACCATCTGCGATTCTGCCTGAATCTCTTCTATCGTCTCAAATCTCCTTTCCTTTAGCTGAATTTTCATCTTTGGGAAGAGGAAGAAGTCACACGGAGCTTAGAAAGGAAGTTGGGGTCGGTTCTTGCAAGATCTTTGAGCTCCTGACAAACGAGAAGTCGATTCTGCTTCTGGTCCTCAGACAGGATGCGTCGCATGTGCAGTTCTTCCTTTAGAATCAGCTGACAGGTCCCATAGCCTATCCCAACAATGTCGCACAAGTCGTTGATGGTACGACGTCGATCTTCGTGAATGGTCTGTCGAATCTTCATAACATTTTCGGGCGTTGTGCTCGAAGATGGTCGTCCAGAACGCTCGTCATCATCGACAGAGGTTGGACCTTTTTTAAAACGTGAATGGCACACAAAGGTTTGTGCACGACCCATTGCAGACTCCCCAAATGCTTGCTTTAGCATTTCATAGGTTTCCGTAGCCGTTTTGGCGAGTCTTTGGCAAAATTTGATGCACACGTCGTTCCGAAATCGCAGGAGGGTCGGTGTAATGCACTACCAAAACGCCCGTAACTAAGAAACAAATACTAATTCGATGATGCCGGCTGGTACACTGATTCACTATGAATGTAGGCCGCACCCCCTAGCGGCAGAAGCTCGTACTACATCCGGTTCGCCCTCTATTGACACAGTCTTGAGACTTTCCGATCGCACCTCGTATATAGCCATCACAAACTTACATTATTAAGTACTTTTTAGGCTGAGTTTCGATGAAAGTTTGCCATCATCAGGTGAACATAACCTATATAATTTTCACTTACTTCAACAATAACTTTATATTTTATGCAGCTGTTAATTCATGTATAATGATAATTGAGAAATATATTAGGGTAGTAATTCAAATAATTTAGAATAATTTAGTGTAATTTTCGTGATGGTTGTGGACTGTTAGTAAAGCAGGAACAATCTTACATAGTTCTCTCATCATGAATACCGAGCTAGTAAGCATTATACCGATAAAAGTATCAGATACACTTCAGTGCATTACTAAACCGGGTCCTACAGAAGAAGTCTTCCACATTTGACCATGCTCAGCGGGGAACATCTTAGATCACATCAAATCACAAGATATAGTAAACTAAAATGAAAGCAAGAAATGGAATCGCAGTAGAACTTAGTAGAATATTTTATGAACATATAAGTAAACAATGCTACTGCAGTATTGGACAGTCAGTTCTCTTTAACACATGTATCCAAACAGGACAAATACTCAAACACTTCGTAATCAAGACACTGTGAAAAGCAAACGGAGACACAAAATTTAATAACTACAGAGTAATTGCACTGGAATACAACACTTTCAAAACTGACTGTCCTCTGATATACTCTACGTCTACATGGCGCTACATTCCAGAAGACAGCCAGCTGTCTTCATGTTTGCCACCGTGAGACCCTCAACTCCAGTACATCCAAATTCTAACTGAGAGATAACTTCGCAGTCGCTGAGTGAACTAAATTAAAACTAAACCACAAACAAAGTGCGAAAATTTATCATCTTTCTTGTACAATTATATATTTATTTAAGGTGACGAAACCACAAGATTACATAGCTCAAACTACTACTTTAATTCTTGCGAATATAACTAACCTGATATTGCATCCATTCGCCTGTGTAAAGAACAAGCTTCTTCAAGTCTAATGCCATAATCAAGGGGACTACCAAGCAGGATCCAGATATAGACACGTGTAACACATTGTATATTTTGTAGTCAAAATTTCTGCTGTCGTGGAGAGCCATCATTCGTTCCTGGAGGTTGCAGTAAAATGACACCATCAGCAGAAGGTAAAGACACACAGAGTAGGCCACGGCGGGTGACAAAATGCAGAATCTCGGTGTACCTGTAGTTTTGTTAAAGTGATAATGGACCTATTAAGACAAGTTCAGGATGCACACTTATAACATCAAAGCCACGTTTAACAATTAAGAGATTCAGTACTTGTTATTGGACAAGAGAGGAAAATATTAATCAAGGAATGTTATTGTGTTCAAATCAAAGACAGGGCTTGTACCGATTTTGAAAAGGAATCAAAAATTCATACAAAATGTAATTCGGAAAACCTGTGAGAGTCCTATGAAACTGTGGAAGGAACCTGTCAAAGTTGATCTGAATAATAACGGAAAGATTGATTCATCTTCCTCAGGTCAGAGACAAGTTACGGGCTGTTGCGGACGTGGATATGAACAGGAAATTCTGCAGTCGTAAACGTTGGGAAATGTTGTGTTTCTGTGCGTGCAGTACAACGGTTCGTTTCTACCACGTATTCCACGTAATTAACGAGTTACAATTCGCTGCAGCCAGCTTTAAGTCAGCTCACCGTCAATGTTTATCAAATATTCTCATATTCAGCGGTGGTCCATGTATTTAAATATTATGAGTTTATCTTTGTATTAATTGATTATTTAAATAATCCCTAAGATAAAAAATTGTGTTTAATGTCCGTGGCATAGAAAGTAACCTGTTGTATGTCTAGGGGCTGTGATTTTGTGAATGGATCTTCTTCTTAATTACGCCGTCTCCTTTATAGGAGGTTGGCGACATATTATGAACAGGATCCTTCCATCCTTTCTATATGTTTTTAATACCAAATACTTTCATCTTACTTTTGAAAACTGAGATATCAGATCAGCCCAATTTACGTACCTGTCTTTGGTATTTCAACTGGAAACACTCCCAGTAGACGTAGCAGATGAAATAATGGTTTAAACTGACTGTGATAGAATTCGCTCTCAAAATTTACTTCATCCTTTGATAACCATTTTGTATTTGTTGACGGTTTCCACAATATGTTATTTGTCGTAAAAGAGATGTCTTTTGACTGGAACATACGTGTATTCCTCATCACAAATCTACTTGCTCTTCATTTGGGTTCCAACAGGTGTTATAACCTACGTAACGAGTGGGGCAGAACACTTTATATTGACGCCCACGAACTTTGTTTACATGGCAGTAAATGTACATCCTCATTTGGATACAATAACATACTGATATTGATCAACTTTTTTTCATTAATATAATTGAAGAAGCGGCGGCTAGACAATGGTGTGCTTTAAGTCACTTTTCCAATTTCCGCAATGCACATTTTGCTATCGGAAACTCTTCATGCTTACTAGAAGAATCGCGTGTGATACAGCTGGTCCCAAACAAAAGTTATAAGTTCAAGCATTATAATAAATGATAATCGGGGAGTTGATAATCAACCGGATGATTAGAAGAAAACTCGTTGATAAGTTCTTAGTGTAATACACGACACGTGGATCGAACTGTTGGTTTTGGCAGTTGAACTGATGTCTGCTGTATCGATACGTGTCCAGTTTTATGAACACACCTGCAAGTTTGGTATCAAGCAGTCAACAGTGCATTTAAATTATTAGTGAAAATTAAATAAATAAGGATGAGATGAGTGAGGTATGTAGAAGGAAAGAGAGAGATATGAAATGTTTACAAACATATGTCGGAAACCCATTAGGGAAGTTTCATTACGTAAGGTATAGATTTGATGATAGTTTTAAATGCGTCTTAAATTAAGGATTGAGACTGTGGAATGGATTCAACTGACTCAGGATATAACAAATTCTTATTTTGGCCTTCACAAAAATTAACATTTTGTTCAATGAAAGGCTGGATTGTTCTAGACTGGCTGAATGACTACTAGCTCCTCAAGTAGGACTCTACTGTGTAGAGTAAGATTTCTGAGGTTCATCTTTATCCGGCCAAAACATAGACAGATGTAACGTGTTTCTGAGATTGTACGTAGCCAAAGTTACGAGGTAAACAAAAATGCACTGAAAAGGTACAAAGTGGCTACATTCTGACTCTTAACACATTCGAGTATTGCGACCCATTCAGGAGAATATGTTTGCATAGAAATATAGAACAGTATCGATTGTATGAAAATGGCTGCCTTCTACGTTATTTAACATTATGGCGATTTGTTAACAACCAGATAACACGGGAATACAACCCACAAGACAGCCATCTTCGTACTCACCGCCGTGAAAACTCAAATTCTATCTAGCACAAATGTAAAAAAAGGCATTAATCCTAACTGAGGTCGGAGTACATCAGTCTTATTTAAAGAAATGCTATTTTATAACTAATTCCAAAGGACGATTGTTTTCATTAATGGCTTAATGGTTAGAAAGTATCAGATGCACAAATCAGAATTATCGATGAAAAGTTTTTGTATTTATTTGTGTCTGAACTAGTCTAATTAATGTGTAATCTAAACGGACATATCTTTCATCACATATTTAATACTGTACATGTATGAGTTTAGTTAATCTGTTTCTGTAATATTTTTCAATATTAGTTCATTATTATATTTATTATCAGTATTTATTATCAATGTTTGCCTGTTATAAGCTTCTTGGTGTTGGCAAACCCTAATTAAATGAATTGAATTGAATT